TGTGTGTGTGTAATATGTGTGTGTTTATCAGCATTGCATTTTATACAGTGCTTCATTCAAACCAATATACACTCCAGGTTTTACAGTGTATTTTGACTCAAGTATTGCTGCCAGGACAGTGTTTACAGCAATATTCATTGTGTTCTGCATAGCCCTGCCCATCAATCAGCCTTGTAATAAAGCAGAAAGGGAAATCGGTGGAAAAGCAGCAGAGCTGCTGAATTCAAGATAGTCATATAAAAACCAGTATGAAGACAAGTATAAATGCAGTTGGGTCAAAGTAACTGCCTGTTGATTAAAGAAAAAAGATACACATGCTGCATTACAGTTAAAAAAATAATTTAGGCTTCAAAGTGTTAATTTTTTCCTCTTGGTTAGTGTTTCGAGATGACTGCTGCTCCATACAGATTTATAATATGTATGTGTTTACTCACACGTTTCTAAGCCAACAGGAAAGGCAGAGCAGAATTCCAAATTTATCATTAAATCTATGTGTTGGCACCTACAAAGAGCTGCAGGACTTCAATTTTTCTGGATAAGACTGAAGGAATAAACTGAAAGAACAAACAAACAGACAAGCCATTCTCAAAATACACAGGCAAAAAGAGAGGCAGAGAAGAAAAAAAAAAAAAAGATGGCTTGTAAGGGTGTTGATTTCCAGGTGTGTCTACCAGGGGCAAATTAGGAATAACTTTAAGAACAGCCTAATCCCCGACTCTTTCTGGATTACATATGGGTCTGCTGACAAACAGTGTGGTTCAAAACACACAGCGCTGGTTTGGCTCTGAAGCGGCACGTGTTATTCCCAATTCAGTCGCCGAATTGTCATGCAACTTCCAGTCTTTACCCAATTTGGGCATCCAGACTTTGCTTCACAGATTTTATTCCCTCCCTCACTGTGAAGAAGTGCCTCACGGTATCAGGGTGTACCACCCTGGAGTCCTCATCTTATAATTAGCACCTCTGGATGCTACTGTAAAATAAACGGTGACGATGATATTGATGAATTATGACTTGGCTTTTTATTCTGCTTTAGTCTAGATCGTAAAGAATTAACACAAAAATCAAACTAGGATAAGATCTGCGTACCCAGGGGCCCCGTACAATTCCCACTGAAGTCAGTAGGACTTGAAGGGAAATTGAACGAGGCTCTGAAACTAATTCAACGTAGGTGCTTATGCACTGCTGTGCCGGGGATCGCAGGAACACCTCGTGCGATCCTCACCCACAGTAAACCCGTTGGGCTGTGAATGCAAGCCAATCACCAGAGCTCAGAATACAGATAATGCAGGGAGGGGAAAGAAGCGTTCAGTGTAAAAAAGAAACCAAGAGGAGATGTTCTTCGCACATTAAGAGCTATAATGAAATACTGCATCTTGAGTTTGTCGCTGTTTGAAGGAAGCTAGGAAACTAGCAAGAATTCATTATGAAGCTGCTCAAGACCAAAACATGAATCATCGGGTTCTAAAAAAACCCAGTTGTCTAGAGAACAGCGTAGATGAAAATGAATGGAATCTCTTTAAATTACTCTCTGTATAAACTCTTTCACATTCATTCTTTCTGTCATTGATTAGTATCTTTCTGGGATATGGGTTTTTAAATAATTCCACACCATACTCCCAGCTTCTGCAATCAAAACACAGAAATGGCTCTTGATTCTGCATTTTTAGTCTTCATTTACAGGGAAAAATGTCTTCTGCAGAAAGAAACTTGAACACCTACTGTTCTTACCCATTCACTGGATATCCCCAGAAGTGCATGCTGAAGGCTCAGTAATCAAACGAGATTAAGATTCTCCCATCGCTTTACAAAAAAGGGGACTTTTGTACGCCATTGCTGCATAAAGAAGGATTAAATCACCTCTGGAAAGCCCTCAGGATCATTAAAGTGCTAAGAAGCTGGGATCTCTCTGATCCCAGCATCCCTTACAGCTAAGCAGAAAACCCCAAATCCTAAATAATAAATTGAGAAGACCTCTCTGCAAACCCAGGCAGGAACGCGCAGAAGGGAAGCGTGGCAGGCAGAACACGGCCTCTGGCCATATTGTCCCTGCTCTGTCCAATTTCCTGAGAAAACGAGGCTTGTGTGACCACACGGTGTGTTTGTGTACGTCTGTCCATTGTACCAACCCCTTTCCAGCAATTTCTGAAGCACCAACCAGTTGGCAGTGTTATGTTTACAGTTGGACTCGAGGATCTTAAAGGTCTTTTCCAACCTAAATGATTCTATGATCCTATACTTTCATTTGACAAGAGCTCCGTTGAGGGAGAAGCAGTACGGAGAGCTGAACTGCTATCGGTCATGGGGGAAACCACCTCAGAGCAAAAAAACCTTCTACATTTCAGGAACCGGAAAAACATGATATCCTCTAACAGTTTGCAATTTGAGTTAATTCCCTATTAGATGTGTACCTTATCAGACCAAAGAAATCCAACCATGAATTACAGCTCTGTTGAAAAGCCAGTTCCCTCTTCTCACAGCTTGTGGAGCGAGACACAAAAACACTAAGGGAACCCACGGGAATAGCACAGAGGGGCTCCGCTACGAAGCAACATCCTTTTCTATCCACAAGTGCCCAGAGGCAGAGACACACGCTGCTAAGGACGGTCCTCAGCAATTCCGACTGAAGGATCAGCCTTCGCAGGCGCCTTCAACTAAAAGTCCATCCACCCTTTGTCTTTTTAACCAGAGACTCCCCATCCCTGCCCAGGAGGCATTGCTCAGCCTGCCCGTGCCCACAGCGGTTCCCCAGGGCTCCCAGCCTCTGTCGAACCTCCCAAAGACAGACCGCAACAGTCGCACACATCTGAACCTTGCCAGAAAGCCTGCCAGCTCTGAAAAACACAACGTACAGAGACGCAACGTATCGTGAACAGAAACGTCAAAGTGTTGCGCTAGCCGGAGTCCTGACGTCACTCTGACGGAACAAGAAACGGGGTAATCAGCAAGAGATCGGCTGTTCCTAAGGGCTCCCAGCGTCTGAGGTATCTCAGGTACCTCGCTGCAGAGGTACTCAGCACCTCTGACACCTATAGCATCCAGCACAGCCCCGTTCTCCTGATTTAGGCAGAGGTATGGCCAGCTGGGAGGGTCCTTATGGCTGTAGCTTTGCAAAAAAATGATGCTGCATTGGTTAGCAGTTTGTTAACCAGGAAGAAGCGTAAGAAAGGAAGACTTTCAGAAAAACAGAAAACACACAAGATTGCCTAAGACTTCAGGCTTCTCATAGAAAAATATCCCACTCATGATTGTTGGAGTGGATTTTACAAGACTTACTGTGATGACATCCAAAATTTATTACAGCTTTTACAACAAGACCATGTCTAGTAAAGAGTGATGTAGTGACAACATTTACTTGACTGGATTTAGCTTCTTAGGGCACATAAATATACTTTTGTACTTTAAGAACAGCCGTAGCTGCCTACTAAATCTTGAATAATACAAGGCAGCTTTGTAGACCTTTAAACACATGCACCAACTTGGTTCTGTCTGCTTCACAAACCTGCTTCCTTTCCATCTGCCCGGTCAGTCCTCCAGCTACTGTTCTGCTCGCCTTTTGTCACCCTTAGCTTTTAATGTGAAACTGTTTGGAACTCCTGCTTTTCAGTTCCTGGGCTTTTTGAGTACGGAATTCATTACTTTTAGAAAGTGGCCAAGTTTGTTTCCCCCCCTCCCCAGTTATAAAACAAACTGGAAATCTTATCCTTTTTCCTTGGTACACACATGATGAATTTTGTACAACTTCATTTGAAAACTGATTTATTGACCACATGTGTGAAAACCCTATCATAAATAGAAATTAAATTGGGGATTTCTGTTAAGCACTGAATAAGGAAATTCTCTGGTGTAACAGTTTTAAAAGACAATTTGAAAAGACATTAGAGTAAAATAGGAATAGTTGGACAAAACTTTTGAAAACTAATAGCAATATTTTAGGTTGTGGGTTTTGGGGAGCCAGATTTGAAGCATGTTGAAGCACCCTGATTTCCAGAAAGCGACCTGAGTCCGATATCGGAAAATCAGGTCCCTTGCAAGGGCCTCACGCTTATGTCATCGACTGCTTCACAGGCAAAAAAATACTACTTTACCAACACATTGCACGCTTCACCAAAGCTACACGAGGACTAGGTGATATTTTGCCAATTAACAGGACTGTATTTGAAAAACCTGACCCCAGGCAGGACCGGCCACAAAGCCGGGTGAGAGCCCAGAGCTGCTGTCTGTGCCCCTGCAGAAGGCTGGCTCAGCTCCTGGTGGCCGCCCCAGCCGGAGGAGCCCAGCAGCGTCCCAGCCTGATGCTGACATTGCCCTTCCCCTGCCACGGGGCTCCTCGAGCTTACTGCGGGGGCTTGGGCAGAAGCTTGGGCAGGGTAACTCATAAGGAGAACCTTCCAAAACCACTAGCCAAACTAGCCCTGGTGCTCCCAGCCCCCAGAGAAGCCTGACCCCCCAGCCCCACCATGCAAATAGCTCCCAAAAGTCACGTTCCCCGCCCCGAGGCAGGGTTTGGATGATTTCCACGTTCATTTTTGCTGCTGCTGTTCTTATAAAAACACATTGTTCTTTCCCTGTGACATTTCTTCGCATCTTTGAAACAATGCTCTCCATTACCACAAAATATTTGGCTTGAATCCTCCAGTGAGGAGGAGCCAAGGGTTTGGCTCATGTTTTAAAAACAAAAGAAGTATTACTCTAAACATGAAACAAATGAGTGCAACTGTAACAGTAGATGGAGATAGAGCTCCTAGCACAACCTATGAATAATTCCAAGTCCTATTAGAAGTAACACAGCTTTCTGAATTTCCCTAGAAAACAGCATGTCATTACTAGGTTCCAGCTTGACTAAAATGCAAAATGTCACTTTTTTCAGAGAAAAAGCTAACCGAAAGACAACATGTAGTGTAACAACTAAACCGCAAAGCATATCCACTTACAATCTGAAATTGTGAAAGACAATGTGTGTACACGTAAGTAGAGCGATATTAAAAGATGGCTCTTACCTCCGTCCCCAGATCCTGAGCCGGCATCTGAGAAAAGAACAGAAAGAAATTTATATTCATGTGCCACAATACGTCCTGTAAGCATGCAAAGCAAGACTGTTAAGTGTATTACAGTGTACCTTACGTTTGATGTCATCCCCGGGTAAATTATAGAGATCTAATCTGAACGTAGCTCGCTCAAGCCATCTTTCTCATGTCTCAATTCTTTTTCTTTAAAGTCTCTGTATCACACAAAAATAACGTAAGCCCTGGAGTGCTGTAACGTCCTCATAAGCCTCTGCCTTGTTTTGTTGTACTGAGACTGATAAAGCTTTGTTCCCAACAGTTGTGCAAAGTTACTTCACTTGGCCACTGCTAAACACTCACCATCAAAGAGAATTTTTTAAACCCATTTGTCTGAGGCCAGACCAATTGGAAATTCACGTCATTATCTTTACAAAACTGTGACATCTCATCAGATCATAACTAGTTCGAATAAATCACTGAAATTATTATTATTATTCAAAGCATTTAGATAAATGTTTAAAATGCCATTTTTCTCGAGGTTGCTGCTGAGTTTCAAAATTGAGCCCTTTATATTTCCTCTGCTCGATGTTTTGTTGGCTGGAACGATGAGAGTCACAAATTTAGAAAGTGCAGCATCATGAACTTGCCAAGCCTGGAGCTTCGTTACAAAACTTTCTAAGCGAGGCAAAGCCCAGAAACGCACACATGTGTAGGGTTACCAAAAATAATCCATAAGAGGAGTTTCTTTTGCAGGGAAGGGAGGGAGGTTGTCATCCCATCCTCCCCCTTAGCGGAGGGGTTATCCATTCATCAGCATCAAGATTAATAGAAAGAGTTTGGAAAGGCTGTGATCCAATTACCCTATGAACCGTTAGATCTAATTTACTGACAGCAAGGTCTGGCGGATCTGAACTGGCTTGTACATGCCATCATTGCTCAAATTTTAAAAAAGGAAAACCTTTATTTAAATAAACCTGTCACAAGAATGGCTTAAAATGGTAGATTTACACAGCAAGACTGCGTGGGACAGATGCAAAGGGGGGCTGGAAAAGAGAACAGAAAATGATGGTGTCTTCCCAGTGACCACGCTCCGCCTTTCCCCGATTTGATCTTCTGTCCTGACGCTCTGTCCCAAATGAGCTACCGAGGAAAGAGAGGTGTCTCCATTAGAGTGCCCTCCTGGCACGGGGAAGCACTGCTTTTCCAGGTGCGCCAGGTCTCCCCAGCACAGAGGAAGAAATGAATGCCTGCTGTCACCTGCCTCCCGCAATGACCTACCATATTCTCTGGCTCTTTGGAGGAAAAGGACCTCGTGTCTCTCCTCCTGCCCGTACCCTTCGATGCCCAGAGCCGTGGTGGTCGCGGCCAGGAGGGCTGCTCGCTGCCGACCTCCCAGCAGCCCAGGTCTCTCATGGGGGTCCTGCCCACCCTCTCTCTGCCCCATCCCGCAGGGAAAACCTGACATACACGGCTACTCCCTTCTCCACTCAGCCTCCTCCTTGGGAGGAGGAAAAAGAGGCCAAATGATCAAGACTTCAGGAAATCATTTATTTATTTATCTATTTATTTTTAGCTTCTCTGTTTCTGAAATCCACAATGTGTTTCAGAGAGAATGTTTCCAACACGGCCATTGCCAGTAGGCAAGCAAGTTTAAGAAAAGATGTAGCAATACACTAAAATTATCCCTTTATTCAAAAAGTTTGAACCAAAAAAGACCAGTTGCTGTGCTGAGAGAATTTACTAAGTTGAATCCTACGCCACAATAGGCTTTGTCAGCCTGAGCTCCATTTAATACCAATTTATAGACACAAAAAATTGCAGCGTAAGTTTTTTTCCTCTTGAAAATTGTCAGGTAACAGCTTCAGAGAAAAACATTTCCAGGGAAAGAAGTTTATTTTCTCTCAGGTGTACAAAACACAAAATTACGGCACTGCAAAAAGTTTGTCTAATGCACTTTTTATTGACTCCTCCATCCTCAGGCAACAAAAAATTCTGCTTTAAGTTTAAAGAACTCTCTCAAGAACAAAGACTTACTCCTCCTGCTCTTTTCAAGTTAACTTCACTGCCCACCTCTAACAGACACTGAGCACAAAAGAAAAACATCAAGAACCCCTGCACGTAAGCAACTCAGTTTTCCTGATGGATTCTGCACATTCACCTTTAGCTGTTTCATAAAAGCAGAGATACAAATAGCTCAGGATGCTCAGAGTTAAGCAAAGATGTCTCAAAGGCCAGTCAGTTTTCACGTACACTCTTTAATGAATTCTTCCAAGTCCAGAAAAAAAAAAATCCTGTTGCACAGACTTGTTCATTAAGTGTGTTTTGGGCCAAATCTTCAGCTGGTATAAATTGGCAGGGCTCATTACAACCAGTGGTCTGTTGAATCGTACCGGCTGGGAATCTGGTCCTACACGCGTAAGGACAGCCCTAAGAAACTGGATTGCAGGCAATAATGCTCCAGTCCTATCTCTCCAGATTATGGAGAGGTTTGTGGTAATCCAGATGCCCATTTATCAGACATCTGCTCGTTTAATCCGCTTCCAGTTACTTGTTGTAACAGCACAGAAGTGTACACCGTGCACTGGAGGATCAGGAGCACAAGATACGCATTAAAAAAAGAAATCAACTTCTGTGCTGCGCTCTCCAAAGCGGTGTCAAGGGTATACGGTGCCATAGGCTCTGAGCCCATACTAAGTTAGTTACTTGAAAGGGAAGGATGGCAGCAACTTCTCGTGCCTAAGACTGCAAAGAATTAACCCATAACGAATTCAAAGCAGGGATTCCAATGGCTTTTGCCATTCCCAAGTTGGTTTATTCGGGGGCCTGGCAAGGCCCGCAGGCAGCCTGGAGCACACTATACGTACCGGTCGCACACGATCCTTCGGACACCAGGAGTATTTCGCTCTGCTGCTTGCAGGCAGCCTGTTTCAAGTAGCATTCGTTCTGGTAGGTGTCACCGTTGGAGCCGCACACGGGCACGTAGTCATTGTTACACTGATGGAAATGGACAGAGAGCAATGGCATTAGTCACACGAGCGGGGTGGCACAGCAGCCCTCCGGGTGCCCCCCCTGCCCCCTGCCAGTACTAAAGCCCTGGGAAAACAGCAGCGAGGGAGACGCTGCCTCTCTGAACCTTTACAGCCACCACGGGAGAGGGAGGGGGGGACTTTGAAAAAGACAAAAGGGAGAAGAGCATAAACTAGACTTGAACAGGTTAAAGAAAAGATAATGTGAATAGGCAAAGTTCAATAAGGGCCCCCAGGGAGGCCTCGCGCCGCGAGAACGAGCGGGGGCATTACCGGGGAAGGAATACAGGCAAGGAAAAGGGCTCCTCGCATCTGCAATAGCAACTCTTGTGTTTCTATTGGGTAGCAACAGACAAATTGTAACGAACGGGCTCGCTTTTCCCCTCCTCCTGCACATACACACCCTCACTGCTACGGAGACAGTCGTTTGTACACACAGAAGTGTCTGCCTGTGCCTGTATAACTCTCTATTTAAGTACTTAGCTATTATTGGAACTGATTGGGCAGAGGGAAATTATTTCTGAGAGATCTATGATCAAAACCCATCCCTCTTTCCGCAGAGACACTTCTGTTCCTGGCGAGCTGCGGCGGGGATGCTCCGTGAAGGTCCGAGCTCTCTCCGCAGCGGGCAGGAGCGGCAGCACCGCAGCCAGCATGCTGAAGAGCGCAGAAGCTCCTCACGCCACGCACCCTGCCTTCGGCTCAAACTCCTGCTCAGCTCTGCAAACTACCTGCTTTGTTCCCTCTGCCGCTGAAAGACAGCTTTGCCCTCTCTTGTTCATTTTAATAAAAATAATTCCATTTGATATTGAAAATTGGGCAACCTACCGGGTGCAGTTATCATAAGATAATCACACTCTGAGGCTTAGAAATACTTGGATGTACCCCGTACATGGTAATTATACCAGGGATATGATTATCTCATGATTACCGTACTCCTGGTATGCCTCATTGTTTAATTATAACAAACGGAATGATCACAATTATTATTTACAAATGCTCACCTCTGCTTAAATCCAAGTAAAAATTAAAAAGAAATCATACTTCCTATTTAGCTGTATTATGCCACAAAGTTCTGAGGTGTGTTCGTCAGGCACAGTGTACAATGCAGAACGGAAATTCCAGGGACATAAACATCAAACACGCTTTGAAACGAATGACTACAGAAGTGATTAACACAAACAATTGCATAGATTGCATTAATTGCAGGCCTCCATACAGAGCAGCTGCCAAGAAATTATTCATAGTTGGTCAGAGTGACATTTTGATTGGGCAAAAATCAAATGACATTTTCTTTATGCATTGTAGTTTCTTAAATCTTCCCGAGCTGCTGCCCACCCCCAGCGCTCTCTTCCCTTGGAAGAAGAAAGAAAACCAGCAACCACAAGAGTAGAAATCCCCTCCTTCTGCTCCTAACGAATGGCTCCCTCCATGCAGAGATTTTGAACAGTTGATGAAAAAGTGTTTCCACGCTATTTTCACCATTATGTTCCAAATCTGAGCCATGTTTCACGCAGAAAACGCCAACGTCATCCAGAAGCCCAACAGCAATTGCTGGAGGCTGATCTGGAATACTTAACCAGGACAATCAACACAATCATGGGAATTTTTTAAAGCGTGAAGGATCAAATCATGCTTGCTTTAGATACGCTGTCTGCTTGCCACCCATGGGACATTCTGCCAGTGCAATCTGTGCAGGATTTGGCCCAAAGTATCTCAACAGGCTCTGCTACATGTAGAAACAATGTTGGATCCTGTTCCCAAGAAACACAGTGGCAAAGTCTCTGCTGGTTTTGCCAGAGCAAGAGACCATCTTTGACTCTGGCTCAGCTGCAAACCCGAAGGGCCAGTCAGCCCTGCCTTAACAGCGCACAGCAGCAAGAGTGAAATCCTGATCCACGGCAGCGTGTGACAGAGCTGCTGTGAGCTAGGATGGAACTTCTTCCAAAGCTTGGCAATTTTAAAATGCAATTTGAAAGACACCAGGGCTCCAGGACAGATTAAGTCTCGTGGCAGAAGTTTCCCCGTCTCTCCTGTGGCCCCTGCCACACTCAAGCGTGGCTTCAGCCAGCGGGGGTGGAGGGTACTCCATGATGAGCACAGGTGATGCAGCCTTTTCTTTCTCAAACTGTGCTGGTCCCAGGTGCATTTCTTCATCTGCTGCCCATTCTTCCCACCACTGCCTTCCGACAACCGGCATTCGGATGAAAAAGGTAGGAACCTAGTAGCTGCTGCTGAGCCACGGGGAACAAAAGAAGTGAGAGCTTCCAGATGGATCCTGCCTTGGCTTGGAGCTGAGATGACTCTGAAAGCCACCAGGAAACTGTAGTGGAAGTTACCCAGGAAAGAAAACAAGATGAGAAGGTTGTGATGTTAGTCACCAGGTTACCCATGACCTGCTACAGCTAGACTCTTGCACTTGAGCGCACTGAATCCAGTAGTCGCAGCTCTTCACTGTCGTAACTGGAGGATATTAGATGTTGACTGTCAGTGTCCTCAGTCTAGTGACACATTTTTGGCATTTGTTTAGGGCTCAGTAGACCCAGCCCTAGATGCGAGAATGATTCTCTATCCCTAAAGAAGACCTAATCAAGCACTTGGGGAAATCCCTATCAAAGTCCCACTAAAGCCAGCAGCACAGTGCCATACTGTCCACTTCTCGCGCACACAGGTTGGTAAAATAGAGCTGTAGAGCAGGGAGATGGACGTACCCAATCCAACCAGCATCAGCCAGAGGCTGCCTCCCTCAGCACCAGCAGCCTCCAGTGCCCGCTGTCACAGCCTGAGACAAACCAGCTTTGCAAGTGTTGGGGTCAGTGCTGTGCACTGAAAGCATAAGGTTTATTTTCTAAATAAAATGGTAAGTTGTGTAACTCCTCCTCCTGGTAACACTGTTAAAAGTTTGACCTCCTCCTACTCTCACGGATTAGCTGCTCCCAAAATGCCACCTACATCTTGAACCAAGTAGCATGAAAATGTATTCCAGAAATATAATATAAAGCTGCAAGTTCACCAGGTGATGTTCCAGCTCCACAAACACTGAAGCACGTGAGGGATTTGACATACATGAAAACAAGACTCCTTCCTCACATAAAAAACAGTGAACTTCCACAGTTTTGGTGACTAAAGAGAAAAGACACGCAACGTTGAAGGAAATACCCTGGTATATTTTTGGATATGTTCATGAAATCTAAGAGGGAAGAGAACCCAGGCTGCCGGACCTGTGGCTTGGGGCAGACTGAGGAGCAGACCCCAGCAAGCCGTGTCTCCAACCACATGCCTGCTGGCACTGCTCTGCACCTTCTGGTGGACCCATTGAGTTTGGGCAGGGGGGGGAAGGGGTGGTGCTTTCCCCCATGCTCAGCCCCACTGCTGGAGCCAGCACTGGCACAGTGCCTTCCCTCCGTGCTGGCACCAAGGTCTGGGCTTGCCCTGAGCAGGGGACGGGTCTGCATTTACTGATCAGAGCGGGACATGGTGTCTTCCAACGCAATACGTGTCTCATCATGAGAAGTCAGTGAGCGGGCTACTGTTTTGTGGCAGAGTACGACAAGAGAGCCAACCAATATGAATCCCTTTCTTAGCACACGCCTGCTGGCTCTCCAGGGATGGAAGTCTAAGTCAGGTGTTCCAGAGCAGTCCGATCACATTCACCCTTTCAAACAAAAATAAATTAGTTTTAACTCCAGTTGGACAGACACGATGTATCTGTGATTCTGGTTCGAAAAAACCCAAACCAAGATTGCAGCAGCCTTGCTCCTTACTTCTGCCTCCCCCAGCCCCTCAAGACACAGGCTCGCCAGCCCAGGACTTTTCACCAGTACAGAAGCAAAATTAGCTTTCCGTCCTTGTCTATTCTCTCAAGCTGCAGTTAAAGCCCCTGGCAAGTTCTGGAGAAAACATAAAAAGTAATTATAGTGATGAGGAGTCTGCTATTGATTTGCTCACTATCACCCCGGAGAGCTGTCACTGAAACGGGGGACGTGAATTCTGATGGAGAACCCCCTTACTCGTGACATAAATTACGTGGCCGGCTCTGCCTTACTTGTCCGGTCTCAGACACCACGCTAGAAATTAATTTTCTACTCTGGTGGCATATCTTTTTGGCTCGTCACGTTGTCCACTGATGTTACAAGAGAAGCTAACATCCCCCCAGCTCGGTCTGTATCAAAGCTGACGCGTTTGACCAGAGAAGCCCCTGGCACCACACCGTCCTTCGCAGCGCCAGCACAGGATCAGCCACAGGTAATTTGCCCTCCAAGGTCACAGCCAGCGCTGCGGCTCCACAGAGGGCTCAAATCGAGACAAAGAGCTCCGGGTGTTTACAGGGCCTGATCCAAAGGCCACTGAAAGTTCAACCCATTTACTAGTGGTCAGGCCCACAACCGTCCAACTCATTCTTTTGATCTCATTTACATATTCAGACACCAATTATCTGATTTCCTTAAATCTGTTTCAACCGCCCCCTACAGAACTGCTCAACTCAGCATACAGGTAGAGTTCACCTCTCAAAGACGAGACAACACAGCCCAGCGAGGTTTACTTAGCTTCATTTACCCTGAATCACCAGGGACCGGCATCCTGCCTTGGGGAAACAGCACTCCTGACGCCTTCTTCCCTGCCGATAGCAACATCTGGGTTTGCTCCCTCTAGGCTACGAGTCCACTGCTTTATGCCAAATGGCAACACCAAACTGGGAACAAAGACCAAGACCCAAGTGCTCTAAGGTCCCAACGCTCAGGTCACATCAGCTGTCCTACCTTGCCACCAGGCAATGGGACAAGTCACAGGCATTTTACTGCAGTACAGATTTTTCTTAGAAAGAGAAAACAGACTGACCCTTAAATCACTGCACATGCCGAGCCAAGGCAAATGCTCAAACCAGCATTCTCACGTTGAGTTTTTGATTGCATGCAAACTAGAAACGGAATAAAAAACACCCCACGGTCAATATAAACTCTCTCCCAACATGGGAATCGCAAGCACTTCAGCAAACAACTATCTTGTTCTTATTACAGAAAATTCCTTCTTTGGTTTAAATGAAGGAATTGATCACTTGGGTTTTTTCTCCGAAGACACATTTGGCTCTAGAAATACAAACGATACTTGTAACACTTCAAAGCGAATAGTCTATCAAAGCTCAATAATAAATTAATCATTACAGATGTGCACAATCTTGAACTGTGCACTATTTGGCCTGCTCTACTGTAAACACTGAAATCAGCGTGACAAGTTCCACAACTGCACAGAGCCACATTAAAATGCAAGAAACCACAGGGGCATGAACGTACATACAACACGTGCTGGTACATGCTTAAGACTCCTTTAATTTGTTAAGTTTTTATTCAGGTCATGATGTAAAGCACAGCTGTTTTGTGAGTTGGCTAAAACATATTAAATGGAATCCTTCATAATGAAATCGTCTGACTTTGAGAATGCCTGAGGTTTAGATGTAGCTGCAAGAGGGAGAGAAAAGAAATAGAAGGAAACCCCCCTACTACTCAGTAACAGACACCCCCCCTAAAACTATATAAAACCTAAAGGAAGTTCATGATTTTGGAACAGAGAGATTGTTCTTTAATCCGATCAGCTGGGCAGATGAACAGGCAGAAGCATTGTCACTATGCAGCCCTTCCTGAAAATATTGCATAAGCACATTACAGATCCATTTCTTTAACTAGATCAGAACTCCGAATACAATAAGCCATGATCTGTATCAGAAATGAATTTAGAAAGGACTCTAAATCCTTGTTAGAAGGGCAGAGACGCAAAGTCAGAAATGCACAACCTGAAACTGCAGACCCGAAGGGACATTTAAAGCCACAGCATCTGCATTTTCCCAGAGAAACTTATGTCTTCTTGACACCAGTTGGTTGTCCTGCCAGCTTCTATACATGCTGCCAGGTTTTCCCTCTAACTTCGGTGCACATAGAGAAATAAATTGTCAAGTGATAGGTTATAAAGGGAGATCCTTGATTTGTATTCTCATTAGTGAATTAGAGAATGAAATATCAATCTTCTTACCTTGAACTGACAGACACAAGTCACACTGTCTCCAATCCTTAAACACTCCCCATCAAATTTACAGGTATTGGTGTCGCAGAGAAAGAGATCATTTTCTCTGTCATCGTAACCTCAAATGTAAAGAGAAAGAAAAAAAAAAAAAAAAGATGTCAGCTTCGGTCTAGCAAGAGGAACAATACGGGATGATTGCATTTTAATGCACACAGCACAATAACCTTGCTGATGAAATGATAGAGTCCAGATTTTCTTTTGTCCTTCCCTGTCCTCAGTTTTCCACTTTTTCCTCTTGTTTCTCCCTCGGTCTTTTATTAGTCCTTATTCCCCACAACCTCACACACTTTTTTTCCCCATTTCACAGACTGTGTTTCCTCAAAAGTCACCCGGTAATTACGCTCTTCATGGCTCTGGGTTGGAAATGTCATCAACTTATCCCCGTCCGATCGCAAATCTGTCGGACAACAGTCCAAATTGGAATTTCTCCAGCCCGTGATGCAACAAAGCCCCCAATAATAAAGACAAACAGGCTGTGTGTTTTCTGTGATGGTCTGTCTGATCCCAATGAAGATTGATCACCTCTAAGTTAACAAGAGAAGTGCCAGGTTCCCCGCGAGCCGCTGAGTGAACCCAGCTCTTTGCCTTCATTTTCTCCAGGAAAACCCAACAGATCTGACTGAAGATTCAGTTCACGAATACAAGCATGAATTTCAGATTTCGCTAGCTGACTTCCCACTCCAACAGCATGCAGCAAGGTATTAAACAAAACAGCTACATCAGACTCCAAACCCATTAAGATCTAAATCCATCGATTTTTTTAAAAAAACATCCTAGTGCTTTTAACCGTATCGCTACACGTTTAAAACGAAGATCTCAGAGTGGAAATTCCCCCGATCTAAGGCATTATGCGCGATGCACGCATTACTCCCCAAACC